ATTTCTTACTGAACAACTAGGTTACTTTTAAAGAACGACTGTTAAATGGAAATTATACATTACTTTACAAAATTTATGGTGATCTATGCTAGTGAACGCAGCAGGTAGCTGTAAAGCAAAGCCGTTCATGCAGTTAATGACCTAAGTACTTCAAATCCGGTGCAAAAATGCATGATCGCACGGGCCCGCCCGGTGCGTTTCAGCCTGGGTTTACCTTGAACTACCTCCGCTTCCTCACATCCTGCCTGGTCATGAGGTCATCACCAACAGAGAGCAGTTTTTTCCAGACGAATCTAATCTAATATAATGTTGTACCTTGCAGTACCTTGAATTGCCAAATTTAAGGCAAATCACGTACAGATTCCGTAAGTGCTACTGCAAAAACTGTTTACTGCAGAAAGCCCTCGGACTGAATTTAAGAGAAATCAAGCAGAAATACTGCGCAACCAGGTGGATAAATTCTCTTACCGAAGGGACGTTACGCGAATGAGGCATATGAGAATGCTGTAGCGCTTCTAGCCCACTAAAACTTTCTGATTCGTTCTCCTAGCAAAAATTTCAGTTAGCTAGGATCTGGTACAAGCTTTGCAGTGATATTTTCGTAGTTTTTAAAGAAATTGAGCGGGTAATCCTTACTTGCAACACTCATATGCTGGCGGACAATCCATCGATGAAATGTAAAAGCCAATTGTTTGGGATATTTTGCACAGCGAATCAAGTTGAGCCTAAAACTAACGCATGTGGAAATATGACCGTTACTGCACAGCACTTTCAATAATGAAATATGTGATTATATATTAAAAATAGTACTGGAAAATGCTGAAACGAGAAAAAAGAGAAATCTAAGTGTTAGTGCTGCGTAACCAAGGGTGTGCATTGCCAGTAAGAAGAGATGATTCTGTTATGTAGCATGAATGAGAAACAATAGATAGGATCACTGACTTCGCGCATCGGGCCTACGCGCGCGAACATGCGTTTTTGCAGTGTTTCGTGCTGTAATAAGATCCCTCGGAAACCCAGTAGCTAGAAATGTGTGAAATACTGGTCCTCGAATTTCGGAAATTTAATTGCCTACGCTGGGAACATTCCCCAAGAATTTCAGCTCTCTAGTTTCTCCGGGTCCGGAGTTAGTCACTTTCCCCTTCAAAAATTTTCACGAGGCCGTATGTGGGGATCCCGCATAACCGGGGGCTAAATTTGGTAAATTCACGTTGTACATGGGCTGAGAAAATTTCCTTAAGAGAACATTTCCTTTCTCAATTCCCCAGTTACTCATATTCCCGCTAAAAATTTCCACAGGGCCGTAAGTGAGAAACACGCATGCCCGGGGCTTGAATTCGACAAACGTAAGTTGCAGATGAGCTGGGAAAACCCCCTTAAAATTTCAGCCTTGGATCCCAAGTTAGCGATTTCTTCGCTGGTAACCCTTACTGGGTCGTACGCAAGGGCCTGACACACCTCCGGACTGAATTTGAAATCTTTGAGTTCTCCATGAACAGGGAACTTAACCCCAAAATTTCAGCTTTCTGGCGCGCGCATACACAAGCAAACAAACATACACACATACTGGGGCCGTCGCAATATGCGTTTTCGCACATATATGCAAAAGCGCATAAAAAACGAATCGTTCTTTCCGTAGTGTGTGGTCACCATTCATTGCTCTCACAATGTTAAAAGACACAGGAGAGGCCGCCATTGCGGTGCAGGGGGTTTCGTTTGAATGGATGCGAAATTATTTGGTTGAGAGGAGCTCAAAGTAGAAAAAAGTGACGAAATTGGTACCTGCCACAGCGAAGAGAAGGAACAGGACGATAAAACAATACCTAATCAAAATTTATCAAGGTTAAAATGTTCTTGCTCCTTAATCTGCCAGAAAAATTTGGGTCTAATGTATGAAAGCGCAAAGCCTAATCCTTTCTGCTCAAGCAGCTTAGCTCAAATTCGCCAGTGCAAAACCATTTTTGTGCACTGAAGACTTATGTGTTTGGCCATAGTAGTTCATTTCCCTAGAGATGGCTTCTAGAGCTTTTTGCCTAACTTCAGTGTTTCTTTGACCACTTCTCATTCACAGCCTACTGTTCTGTCGGTACAGCTAGCATCTTCAACAGTTGTTCTAACCAATGCAGCATGTTTGATGGTCAGTCACCTTGTTGGCTGTGCTAAAAACGAACGTTTCTATAACGATTTTCCCTACAGAATTACTTCTACTAGTTTCGTCATTTCGTTGCATTACTAGTATGTATGTGCGTTGGGCTCATCAAATAATCACAGATGTTACAGTTTCTGGGTCGTAATATGGTTTTTTTGACTAGGAGGTCCTTGCCCAAAGGCTAATATAATGCAGAAGGAACTTATATTGTGATTTAATCTAAAAAGTTTTCGAAGCTAACCTTCCATTTCTGAAAATCCTCTGTTGGCGTATGGTCCGGGCAGGAGAATGCATTCGCGTGTACCGCATCGCCTCCGAAAAGCAGTAGTGCTATTTTACTTTCATTCCTAAAGCAATGATATCGTAAATTTCTGTAAGAGCTACGCACGAAATTTCTTCAGCTGATATGTAAATGAACTGAATGTTGGGAGAGGATGAGGGCGCTCGTTTGCTGCAAATTGCACTCATAACTACCTGGAGGGGAGTTCACCTCCAAGCAGAATTAAGACTGCAGTTGGAAGTAGAACATCATAGCGAAGTTTTAGTCTCCCACCCTATCCGGTAAATGAAATAATCCCTTTGCTACAAATATCTTTGAAGTGCCCAACCCGTTGCGCAAGTGCAAATCGGAACTCAGTTTAGGTACACGACGTCTCATAATGACGGTAAATATGCTAACAATTAGCCGATGGTTTTCGGCTAGTTTTTGAGTTGACATAAAACCAAGTGCAAAAGTTTAACGTGGCCATACGCTCTGCACAAGCGTGGGCAATGTCTGAATTTGAAGTCCTTAGCTTAGGCAAGCACAGAGAATATCCCTGCACAGTTCCAGCTTTGTTTTTTGTCAGGATCGCGAAATCCTTTCTCGCCAAAGAAACATGCATATTTTTTTCGGGAGAAGGGGGAAGGGACTGCACGCGAAGTCTACGCGCATGTGGGAGAGATCTTAAAAGGGAGGGTGGACACACGGGGTAGGAACATGTACCTGAAATTTCAGCCTCCCAGCTTTCTTGGTTGCTGAGAAGACAATGGATGACAAAGTTCACTTGGTTCCAAATACACATACAGGCGACCTCTCGACAATGTGCGTTTTTGCTTGCTTTTGTAGCGCTATAGTGCTGCACAGCAAAAACACATAAAAAATGCATAACAACCTTTTCATGCTGCTGTGTGGATAATTGCTGTAGTCGGTGACTGCGCATACAGTCATATTCGGTGCTTCCGGTAACGATCCTAGCAAACTACTCATTTTTTGGGCATTTGTGAACCCAGGGTCTTCATCGATAGCACTGCTATCGATAATTTTCTGGCTCATAATTATCGCGCCTTTGATACGATCCTTAACAATTTCTTGCTATTAACAAGGTAGTTAAACCCTCTTCGTGTAAAAACATGCAACATCTTCAAAAAAATTACTTATCAGAAAGACACCTTAAGCTGGTCAAAAACTAACAACCATTAAGAAGTCCTGCTGGTGCTCAATAAACCAGGGATTTTCTGAAACTGCTGAATTCTAGTCCTTGCAAAATTTCAGCTTTGCAGCTTTCCCGCACTCGAAACCGTCGTTTCAGTATAAATATTTTTAAAATACGCTGAAATATGGCGCAAGTGCAGTTCGAAACTCTGTCTAAGATTGACGATCAATATTCTGGGATTTCCTGTTGTTTAAAGTCTTGCCAAAAGCGCTTGTTGAAAGAGTCATTGAGCCAGCAGTCCCTTCAGGAAACAAAGGGAGCATAAGAATCTCAAAAAGGCTGATCATAAAGCAATGTTGCAGTGGTCAAAAAAACTGAGGACTTCATCCTGGAAATTTATTATTTGCAAACAGACCTCTTTCTTCCATTCAAAAACCTTCTCAAACAATTCTTTGTTCGCATCTGCATTGCCAGTAAACAAGTCGAACTTGTCGCTGAAAATGTATACTTAAAATCAGCTCCGTTAGCGTTTTGTTCACATTGCTTTAGTTTTCACGTTTTTCGATATCTCTTGTTCAACCAAACGAAGATTCAAAAAACAGCCTTCCTCAAAGGTCGCAAACATACGAGAACAAAAAATACTGATGTTAAAATATCGAAAAATTCAATGACAGATTGGATCAGCTATCTGAGTTCTTCATCTTCGCTGAAACAAAAAGAAATTTATGCGATAGAGCAAATTCACGTCAAATCTACTCGAAACTTACCCAGGCTGTTTTACAAACAGCGAATTAAAACAGCAGGCGAAATTTACTTCTCGTGTTGACAACATATCAGCACCAATTTAGTACCAAAATTTTAAAAAGCAGAGGAGCTGCTTTAGAAAAACCGGCTTGGAAGGACCAAGTTCAAAACATTACTAAATAGAATTAAAATAACTTTTTTTTTAGAAAAATTATGCTTACTCAAGTATTTTGGCTGGAAAGGTATACGCCTTCACTGCTATGGCTGGATTGCATAGGAGTGCCTTAGGCAGCACGAAGCCACCGGAACCATCCCTCTGTAACTTCTCAACTGCCACAGCTAAGTGGCTAGAATCAGTCGACTCTGTAATTAAGATGACACATGAAATAACGAAACAAACTGCAGGGACGCTGCACACACCTCCTATCATTTAGAAAATGAGGAAATTTGTTACTTTTAAATAATATTTCCTCGAGTTCCTTGAAGAGGAGAATTGTGTACTATTTTGTTTTAGACAGTGTTTAATCCGTTATCAGTCTCACACCAAGGTAAGGAGTGTTGGTGGGGATTTTGTAGGGAAAAATGTGTACAATTATCAGAATGTTAATTTTGCTAAGTAAATCAAGGTTAACAAACTCTCTTTTTTTCGAAAGAAATAAAAATTGTGCCAGGATGAAGGGGATCGGAGCTGTCTGAGGGTGGGGTATAAAAGAACAGAAGGTTAGCAAGGCTGCGGGGCGAATGAGGCTGAAGGAAAGGAAAATCAGGAGGAGGAGGAAGAGGGCTGTGGGTACTACTCAGCTGAGTTTGCTCATTTTTATGCGTTTTTTGCAGCAATGCAATGCGAAAAACGCGTATTGACGAGAGGTTGTTTGTGTGTCCATGCGTCTGTGTGTCTGTGTGTACGTCTGTCACGCAGTTTCATCTCAGGACCTATAAAAGCTGCGGGGTGCGTTATTTACGCTGACAAGTCAAAGTTGGAATTTCGTTGTCGCTGGCAAATTGCCAACTCGACAGATGAGCTGATTGAAGAATGTCTGCTTGCCATACATGGGTACATGAGCGTGAAATGGTTTTATCGTATGCCTCTGTCGCGCGTTCAGAATCTTCAAACAAAAGCGGTTTCGCTAACCAGTCGAACTAGGGGATTGAAAATTTACGAGGATAGTCTATACTAGTATATTCCAGTTTCAGATTCAAAACAAGCTTATATCTCGCGCGCGAGTGGAAGTTTAATTTGGGGATTGTTGGTACTAGCTTAACCGGTAACCAAACTGAGCGGAAAACCGAATTTTTATGAGGTTGTTTGCTGCCACCGAGCATAAGATGAACTGCCTAGGCGTGGGTCACGAATTCAGGCGCATCAAGTTTTTTGATTGTAGCATCACTGTTATAACACTGGTAAAACAGGCAATCCCTCTACAGGATAAAATGATGCTAAAATACATAATCGCCTAGTTCGCCACTGTATAGATTCTGATTTGAAGTAACCAATTGTGGCCGCCTAAATTAGAATTAGAAATGTGCCATCAAAAATAGTGTACAAGTTCAACCGCTAATTATTGAAGGACTCGCGAAAAAGTATGCGCAGCTTTCGTTTCGTGAGAGCACAACTGAATCCGCCTGCTTCGACTCCGATTCACTACACAGGAATGATGCTTTCTGGAAGGCTAATGCTTGCTGTGGTTTCCAGTATTGGTTCTAAAAATATTTTCAATTCGAAAAAATCCGATAATTTGCGGAAGGACTACGAACAATTATCCATGCAACAAATTTATTATAAAGTTCATTTACAAAGTGCTGAAGATAATGGCCCGTGGAAAATAAAGCTGCTATCTTGACGAAAGGGTCAGCTAGTGGAGCACCCAGTCCTTCTGCGATTTGTTCACTTGATTTAATGGCATACTGATAATGGTATGCCAGGGATTCAAATCTGCGAGCAACTCGCTCTTACTCAGCTCTCAAAAGAGAAGTTCTGCCTACTTTGAGAGCCAGTGGTTGCGCTGGCATTTGTTATCAATCTAACAATTCAAGAGTGCCTCAATGTCTCACAGCGGGCGAATATGAAAGTGATTTTGAAATATGGCAGTGCGTGCTACTTTGACTGCATCTTTTGTTTTTCTAAACTTTTAAAGAAAGTTTAGAACTTCATTCTTCCCATGGCATATTTTATTGCGAAATTTCCAAGGTAGAAATTTTTGTGAAATAATTAACTGTAGATTCATTTTCGATCTCGCATTATGCCACCGATGACCAGACATGGCTTTTAGCATGCATGTGCTGCCACTAATGCCTTTTGTCGCAAACTTCATTTATGCAAAGCATTAAATGAATTTAACCTCCTGAGAGTAATTGTTCCATGTTTGCAAGAAGTTCCAGTCTTCTGTGGACAAATTTTTACCCTGCAGGTGAACTATTTTGTCAGCACAGCGACGCGCCAACTCTTTGAATCCTTCGCTTTCCCAGGCATTACATACGCTGAAAAATGGCAAACCTTGAAGAAAACAGTGTTTCTTTTTATAACAGAAGAGTATATTTAAAGGACAGCTAACTAAGATTCACTTTCTGCAATAGTTTTCTATACACTGTTCAGCGTTAAGCCGACTATCCGCACAAAATCTGACCTAGAGGGCAGCTTTACGATTCGCGAGCTTGCTCTATGGAATCTACAAGTGTGAGATTCGTCTTCATGACAGAATGAAACAGAAACTGTCGGAAGGGGTTTTTTTTTTAACTTTCGTGATCATGCAAACTGTCGGCTTTGACCAGGTACCATCTGAGAAAACGTTTCTTGCTAGATCCCAGATCTATTTTATTAAATGAGCCAAGTGAATGTCAAATGGGCCAGGCAAGTGCTCTGGGCTGATTAGTCAAATAAGCCTGTATTTATCTGTTTTTATTGAATAAGCCTGAAGAATGTCTCGCGAGAAAATATGAATTTGCTTGCCACAAAGCGTAGGGATAGCTGAAGGGGCATGAACTACATGTGTGACAAAAATCCACAACTTTTCCAAGAAAACGAAATAAATGATTTGTTTAAAAGTTTCAGAATTTTGCTTTAGAGGGTGTAAGGAAAGCAAATATCAAACGACTGTTCTGGGTTCTGTAAGGAGGAATGTGACTGCGGTAGGTTTTTGATTTGCATTCGCCAGTAGAATTACTTGCAATTAGCTCACATTTTTTGGCGCGATTGAAGAAATCGTGCTAAAAATGTTATCCAGATTCACCCGACAAAAAATTAACCCAGGCTGGAACGCACCAGGCTCTCCGGTGCAATCATGCGTTTTTGCACTAAACTCGCAGATC